TTTATCTTTAAGATTTTATTTATTTATTTATTAAAATATTTTATTTATTTATTCATAGAGACACACAGAGAGAATGAGAGGCAGAGACACAAGCAGAGGGAGAAGCAGGCTCCATGTAGGGAGCCTGACATAGGACTCGATCCAGGGTCTCCAGGATCACTCCCTGGGCTGCAGGCCGCGCTAAACCTCTAAGCTGGGCTGTCAGTACCACCGTATTTATAACAAGTGTTATTCATAGCGGCGGGAAAGTAGAAACAACCCACATGACCATCTGTGGACAAAGGAATAAAAAAAATTGTGGGTTATCTATACAATGTAATATTCTTCAGCCTCATGGCCCAACACAGATGAACGCTGAGGATGTTCTGCTCAGTGATGTGAGCCAAACTATAGCTGTTGTCTAACGGATACAGAATTTCTGGTTTGCAAGATGAGAATAATTCTGTAGGATGGTTGCATAACAATGTGAGTGTACTTAGAATGCTACTGAACTGGACCCTGAAACGTGGTTAAGATGGTCAATTTTATGTTGTGTTTTACTACAATAAAATTTTTTGAAAAAAAATATACATTCGTTTGAACCAAAATTTCATTTTTCTGTTAGTTTTTTTGTTTGGTTTTGTTTGTGTGTGTGTAATAATTAACATGGAGGTAGAAGATGGTCTGGGAACATTCCTGCCTCTCAGTGTTGTATCCCTGCTATCTTTGGCCAAAATTAGTAAGCTCAGAATCTTTTCCTCTATAGCATTCCACCTATTTTTTTTCCACCTATTTTCTTGAACACTTGAATATGATCAAGATAATTTTTTTTTTCATTTTTCTTCTTTATCATCTGTTGTCTCTGAACCTTTAAGAAATTCTTTCTGAGGGGTGCCTGGTTGCTCACTCTGTTGAGCATCTGCCTTCCGCTGGGTTCATGATCCTGGGGTCCTGGGATGCAGCCCCACATTGGACTCCCTGCTCAGCGGAATGCTGGCTTCCCTCTCTCCCTCTGCCTACCTTTCCCTCTGCTTTTGCTCTCTCTCTCATTCTGTGAAATAAATAAAGTCTTAAAAATTTTTTTCTGACATTAGGAGAGATGAGAAAATAGCTTAGCAGTTTATCCTAGAATGTGTTGCAATTAAAAATATGGAGAATAACAATAATTTCAGTCTCATAAAATCGCATAAATAAGTAAAACAAGTTATAATCTAATTAGAAGATCACAATTTATAATCTAATTAGTAATCACAATTTTATCACTGTGTAATACGTTGGGGTTAATAAAAACAACTTGTACAACAAAATATTTCATGATGAAATTTTCCCCCAAAATTTTTATTTAAATTCTAGATAGCTCATAGTGTAATATTGGTTTTAGAAGTAGAATTTAGTGATTTATCACTTACGTTTAATACCCAGGGCTCATCACAAGTGCCCATCCTCAATGCCCATCCCCCATTTAGCCCATCCCCCTCCCTCCATCATCATGATGAAATCTAGTATACAATTCTAGTAAAGGAAAATAGCTCAGGATTATGTGAATTACCAGATGAGGGGTCAAATTTAGCTCCACACTAACAGCAGAAAAATTTATTATTTTTTTTGAAAAAAAATTTTTTTAAAGAGATATTCATTTGTTGGTAATCAGAAAAACATTTCTTTGTTGAAGCCCTGGTTATTTTAAATGTTGTAGAGAAATGAATGAGCACCTGTTAGACGGTCTTTGCTGCCATCTCCTGGGCATTGCCATAATTAATATACAAATTGGCCCTAAAATCGATTTAAAACGTCCAAAATAACAATACCCAAGATGTGTTTGGTAAAGGTGCTACCAGCTTGGACTTAAGTCACTTTGCTCTATGGAAAACTGGGACCAGCAAAGGGATGCTGCCTTATGTTCTGTTCATGCCATACAAATATGTCACAATGGAGCCATCCTCTTGGTGGCTGTTGGTGCTGTTGCCTGTTATAAGGAGTGAATAAAAATCGGGATCCTCTTCTCAGACCTGGGACCCCCTCGAGGAAGAAATCTTGTTTTCTTTAATGTCAGTGACAGGAGATAATCTCTCATCACAATATTTCACTTTGCTAACCTTCCAACATTTATTTTTTTTAAATTTTTATTTATTTATGATAGTCACACACACAGAGAGAGGCAGAGACACAGGCAGAGGAGGGAGAAGCAGGCTCCATGCACCGGGAGCCCAACGTGGGATTCGATCCCGGGTCTCCAGGATCGCGCCCTGGGCCAAAGGCAGGCGCTAAACCGCTGCGCCACCCAGGGATCCCACCTTCCAACATTTAAAAATTTTGCCTTACCTAGTGTCATAAACCCCCACCCAGTTTATGTCTTGCCAATGCACCATTGGGTGGAGGCAACCTTATTGCGTCCACTGGTGGACATAGATTGCCACTGAGAAATCTTTCTGGAATATTCCTGTTGGTTCTGGGACTAATTTGGTGCCCAGGATTCTCTCATGAGTTCTCCTACGATCCTATGGACATGAAAGCACCATGCCGCCATTCCTACCCGAGATATTGCAACTTTTCTGAGGGAGCTATGTTCTTTGGACATTTTTTTCCCAAATACTTTATTTATTCATGAGAGACACAGAAAGAAGCAGAGACATAGGCAGAGGACAAGCAGGATCCCTGAGGGGAGCCCGATGTGGGACTCAATCCCAGGACTCCAGGATCACGACCTGAGTCAAAGGCAGACAGATGCTCAACCACTGAGCTACCCAGGTGCCCCTGGAATTAAAATTTTTAAAATTGCTTTTTAAAACATATCACTACCTTTCCTGTTGACATGAGGTTTGATGATTATGGTCTTAAGAGTAAAGGATTTTTTTAAGTAGTACCTGGTATCTTTGTGAACATTTGATTTTTTCTTACTTGGAAGCAGGGTGAAGGATTGGTGACTGATCATTTATATCCAATTGATTCTGACACATCCTTCAAGTAACTGAATTAATCTTAGATATTAAGCCTTAATTTAAAAAAAGATTTTATTATTTATTCATAAGAGACACACAGAGAAAGGCAGAGACTCAGGCAGAGGGAGAAGCAGGTTCCTCGCAGGAAGCCCAATGTGGAACTCAATCCCAGGACCCTGGGATCATGCCCTGAGCCAAAGGCAGATGCTCAACCACTGAGCCACCCAGGCGTCCCCTTAATTTTTTTAAGATATGGATGTTACATCATATATGTACAATAGAATGGGAAACTAAATGACCGTCAGACACTTTTGGAAGATTTTATCTATTTATTCCTGAGAGACACACAGAGAGAGGTAGAGAAGCAGGCTCCTCACAGGGAGCCCGATGCAGGACTCAGTCCCCGACCATGGGATCAGGCCCTGAGCTGAAGGCAGTCGTTTAATCGCTGAGCCACCCAGGCATCCTTGTCAGTTTTTAGAGATCTGGTAGTCACGGGTTAAAAACTGTCAGGTGTTATTCTGAGATAATTAGCATTTTCCAAATTCTGAGATAACATCTTCCCATGATAGTTTAAAATGAAGATAAAGTTGGTATTTTAGCAATTTGAAGAAATGGCTTATCAGGAATTTTAATATATGGGTAGATCTGAAAATCTATGTAGGCCATATTGAAGATAACCAAAGTAACTAAATGATAGGAAATGTGAATTTAGCTCATCATTGTATCTCCAGCAGTTAACACTAAATCCAGCCCATGCAGTGTACACAAAATGTATTTGTTGAATAAAGAGAAAAGCACATGCACAGACATGCACATCGACTTCATGATTCGAATTCCTTTTTTAAGATTTTATTTTTAAGTAATTTCTACGCCCAGCATGAGGCTTGAGGTCATGATCCTGAGATCAGGAGCCTCATGTTCCACCTACCAAGACAGCCAAACACCCCCATAATTCTTTTCTACCAAGTTGTAGCAAGCACCTCCCACTGGCTTCTACATTATTTTCAGCAAATCTGGCCATACCTCTGCTTAGATTCTAAATGTCTCATTAGTCCTCACCCAGCAGTTTTGACTTTCACACTAGGGACAGCTCAACAGACCCATCCCCAGTAGGAATGGGAACTCATTATCCAGATTAATAATCGGGTCTGGGATATAATGCTGTTATAACAGTGTTTACTGGGATGAGCCACCCAGGTGCCCCGGTTTCTCTTTAATTATATACTTATTTAATTTACTTTTGTAAAAAAAAAAAAGTATTCAGGAACCCCTATCATCTCAAAGAAATAGAATATTGACAATAACACACATCTATGTAGATGCTCTCCTGAGAACACATCTCTCAGCCTCTTCACCTTGAGGAAACCACCATCACAAATCTTTAAAACCAAAACCAAAAATGGAACAAACAAAAAACAGGACTTTTGTAAATAGACTGTCCCCTGTGGGGAGTGACAGACTTAGAGCTTTGAAGGTTACTAGACCCAATGGTGAGCTAAACTTGTTTTTCAAAATTTCCCAAGAGCGGAAGCATGCGTATCACTTGGGAACTTTTTAAAAAATAATTTATTTGAAAGAGAGCGAGTACAAGCAGGGGGAGGCGCAGAGGGAGAGGGAGAAGCAGATTCCCCACTAATCAGGGAGCCTAATGCAGGACTCAGTTCCAGGACCCCGAGATTATGACCTGGCCTGAAGGCAGATGCCTAACAGACTGAGCCACCTAGGTGCCCCTGGATCCTATTTTACAAGGAAACAATGGATTACAGGAAGACAATCAGCAGCCACAGTTTTATAAGGAAATATTGAAAAATAAGGCTTGTCTTCATTAGAAGAATAGCAACATAAACCAAAAAGCCTAAGGACACAATGGAACATAATTAAACCGAAAATGAAAGTCACTAGGGAAGATGTTATCATTCCAAGATCCTCAGTAACATTTATGGGATCATTTATTGTGTTCCAGAAACCCTATAATTGCTCAAGATGTCCACATGTCATTTTTACAAAGTCTGATGAATCACCATTATTAACTTCCTTCTTGGGGCAGAAGGGACTTGGACCTGATAGCGGAATCATCAATCAGGAATTCACTTTTGCATGTGTTTTTTGGTGGCGTTTAAAAGTTCCCAGCTGACGAAAGGCACAGTTGCACTCCTGGCACATATAGGGTTTTATTCCGGAGTGGGTACGTCGGTGAACGTTGAGGTTTCCTTTGTGGCTAAAAGCTTTCCCACAGTCTTCACATGGGTAAGGCCTCTCCTTAGTGTGGACTCTCCTGTGACTCCGAAGGGTGGAATCATGAGTGAACGTCTTGAGGCAGAGGTCACAAGAGTATGGCTTCTCACCTGTGTGGATTCGCTGGTGGACTCGGAGGTCTGAAGGCTGCATGAAACCCCCAGAACAGATATCACATTTAAAAGGCCTCTCTCCTGTGTGTGTCCTCCAGTGAATGTAAAACTGAGATTTATAACGAAATCTTTTCTTACATATGCTGCATGCATTTGGCATTGATTCCGTGACTTTTTCCACCACAGGATGAACTGAGTTTGATGCTGGTTGTCCCGAGGATTCTCCTTTGTCCAAATATGTGGTCCCTTCTTGAGACACATTTTGGGAAACGGAGGTGTTCTTCTGTTTTCTTCTTTTGGGATTTCTTGGACTTTTCTGAGAATCTCTTCTTTTCCTACTCTGAGTAGAAATTACTCTCTCTGAAATGTGGGTGGAAGGCATGTCAGCATCCATATTTGTAACACAGATTCCTTCCTGGAGATTCTTCTCATCCTCTGCCCTCATGGAATCTGTTGAAGGAAGGTTAACACACAACACTTAATGAAGAGTATTTCCTTTTTTTCTTTTCTTTTTTCTTTTCTTTTTTTTTTTTTTGAAGAGTATTTGCAATGATACCACTGAACCAAACACTGCTGTGGGCTGAGAACTTCCCATCAACCAACAAACCTGGGATAGGATCATATATAGGACACTGTGGAAAGTCAGTGATGGAGAAGGCTTGGCCTTTCAGAGCCCCCTCACCCTAAGAGATGTCAATGCTTGATTCCCAACCCCCCTCCCCCGACCCAGCATACAAAAAGAGTCACTAGCTCCTCAGAATCCCCAGTTTCCATGCTCACCATGACCCTTCAGAAGCTGAGGCTCTTGGGATTTCAGTATTGTCTCTTCCAGATCTTCCAGATTCTTCTCCAAGTTCTCCTTGGGTCTCAGACCCTCCAGTACACCTTTTCCAGGAATGGTCTCGGGCAGGAGAACATTCTGTCCCTGATAATGGACAGACAGCCAAGTGTAGTTACCAACATGTCTAATTTGGGATGTGGAAAGCTCTTGTCTCTTCTTTCTCCATCCTACCCATCTCCTAAATCTAGGACATTAATTTTCTCAATAATGCTGTGCTGCAGATGTGCCCAGACTTCCCTTGGGCCACTCGTGACTCGCTGTTAGTCAGTACCCACCTCACCTTTAAATAACATCCACACATGGCAGTGTTTATACTTAATTATCTGAGTGTACCTCCTCAAGTTATCCAGCTTCCCCTGCCCAAATCTGCAAGCAAGGTGGCTCAAGGTCCAGGGGTCCCTACCCAGTATTACTGATATTTTGGTTGGATGATGGATTCCCTGTTGTGGGGCTGTCCTGTGTATTGTGGGATGATTAGCAGCTTCCCTGGTTTCTACCCACTAGATGTCAATTCCATCCTCCAACCACACCTCCTTTCTGACAATCAAAAAGATTTCCAGAAACTTGCAAATGTCTTTCAGAGGGGCAAAATGACTCCAAGTGAGAACCATTCCCTTAATATAAGGTATCAACAATACTCCCAAAACTTCTCCTTTGTCCAACTGTCATTTCATAGAATGCCTAAAGAAATTGGCTGTGGGAAAAATCAGGGTTAAGTTCATTACCCTGTGGCAAATTAACTCAGCACTGTTGCATTGAGATTATTTCTCCTTCTCCACCCTTAATGTTTTTTTTATTTTTTATTTATTTATGATAGTCACACACAGAGAGAGAGAGAGAGAGGCAGAGACACAGGCAGAGGGAGAAGCAGGCTCCATGCACCAGGAGCCCGACGTGGGATTCGATCCCGGGTCTCCAGGATCGCGCCCTGGGCCAAAGGCAGGCGCCAAACCGCTGCGCCACCCAGGGATCCCTCCACCCTTAATATTAAAAAAGCTTTAATGGCAGAGGGACAAAGGCTGAGGAGTCTTCATTCTCCAGAGGCTCAGAAATGTCTACAGGCTTGGTGCATCCATGGGAATTTCTAGGATAAATAGGTCTAGTTCTATGCTATGCCACTATCCCAATTATTCAACCAGCTACACCCATCATTCCTTAGATATCAAGGAGGGCATCACTCACCTGCTGTCTTGAAAGTTCACTGATTCCAGGCAGAGTCTGCAGCTCTCTGACTTTCTGGCTGTCCTCTGGATGTATCTCACTTACAGAGGATTGGGGCTTCTTGGACAAATCTGTCACAAGGTCTGTGTCACTGTCACTGGCCTCAGCTTCGGCCATCTGAGCATCTGAATTTTGCACAAGAAATTCCTGTCCTTGTAAGGTGACTATGGTCTGTGAGGGCAAGAACCAAACAAGATAAGGGGTGCTTGGGTGGCTTAATCAGTTAAGCGACCAACTCTTAACTTTGGCTCAGGTCATGATCTCAGGTTTGTGGGATCTAGGCATCCACTGGGCTCTTGCTTAGTGAGGAGTCTGCTTGAGATTCTCTCCTCTGCCCCTCCCCCACTCACTCACTTGCATATGTTCCCTCTCTTCTCTAAAATAAAAAAGATCTTAAAAAATTAAACAAGATAAGCCTCACTGAAACCAGAATGAAGCTCTGACATTCCCTGTATGAACCTACTAAACACTTACATTTTGTTGGAATTACTTGTGTAAAATGGCAACCTCCCAAGTTGTGACAACCAATAATGTCTCCAAACATTGTCAAATGCACCCTAGGCGGTGAAGGCGTACTTTCCCCACCCCTTTGTGTTGGACATCTATTGGCCTACCCACATTATCTAATCAGCCTCAATACCTCCCCATTTTTCCCACCACCCCAACTAATACTCAGCCCTCAAACTGTCATCCTAACCACCCCTGACCTAGACATGTGAAGTATGGTGTGATGAAAAATCCAAAACCCTGCTCATGTGAGAATTCAGATGTTTGACTTACATCTCACTCAGCTGATCTTAAGAATTCCTTTATCATTCCAGAATAACATTTTATAGTTCCTGTAGCTATTTTTCCGCAGTGTTGTTGAAGGTTATAACTCCCATTCTCCACTTAACCCCAGAGAATTTCATCACCTACTGAGAGTGCTCAGGGAAAGGAGGATTGCCTTTGGAACTAGTTGGAACTAGTTCCCTCCTGTCCCCTTACAAAATTACCTATCTCTCCATGACCAGTGCTAACCAGGTCCCATCCCTTCCTAGATCCTTCAGACCTTTGCTTTTTCTACAAAGCACACAGCCACACTCCAGCTGCCATGATGGAAAATGCCCCCACGTAAGGTCTTACTTGGTGATTCTTACCTGCAAGCTATTTGGATCCTATTGGAGAGACATTTGGCAACCAGAGATTTCCTTTTGTTTTGTTATTGACTTTCACAACTCAGGAAGGTTACCATTGACATCGAGGATGTTACTAAACATTATGATGCCCAGGAAGGCCCAAGCAAGCAATGGTCCATTCCAGTATCACCAGTTGATTTGAGACCCGGATTGAGTTGAAAGCCTACAATCTTATTCCTTTCCTCAGCATCATCCCAGGACTCTCATTACTATGGCAACATGCTCATCATACCTCTCTGTAACCTGTAGCTACTTTACTCAAATAGGACCACTTTTAAGAGGGTCTCTGGTGATATCAAGAATTATAAATGTAACGTTATGGAGTGGTTTTAGGCTCCTTTCTCCTGGAATCTCTGGACTGTCCCTTACACAACTGTCCCCACAAAAGGTAGGGCAAGATGAATGATGGTAAAGTGCCTAGACTCGTGAAACCTCCCATATGTCAAGAACTTCCCCTCCTCCCCATTGTGACAGCCAGAAATGTCTCTAGACATTGCCAAGCGTCTCCTGCAGGGCAAACCATCTCCCACATGAAAACCACTGACCCAGAACAACCCCCTCATGAACTTTCCCGTCCAAGGGCACTGTGCAGCCCCCATACCAGCTCTGCCTTCCCTGTTCCCATCAGGAAGGGCCTGCTCACCCATTTCTTGGGGGTCTGATTGCTTCTCAGCAGGTCCTGCAGGTCTTTGCAGCTCCGCACACCACTTTCCTTGACTAGGGCCTGAATCTCCTGTGGCATGGAGATCATAAACTGCTCCATCACCAGCGTGTCCAGAATCTGCTCCTTGGTGTGGATATCTGGCCTCAGCCACAGGTAGCAGAGCTCACAGAGCCTCCTCAGTTCCTCCACGGGGTCCGACTTCTCCGAGCTGGTGAACGCTCTGAAGCTCACATGCCACATCTCAGAGTTGCAGTCTTGCTCTGACCTAGGGGTGCCTGGGGGTTTCTCATGACCCTGACCCTCTGAAAATGCCTGGTCTGTAGACATATTTACTGCAGAATTTTCCAGTTTGACTCTGCAAACTCTCCAGAAGCTGGTGCCTAACTAAGACCTAAACGGATTTACTCTGGTTTTCCTCAGCAACAGACCCTGTTTTTCCAGAAATCTGGGGGGGGGGGGGGGAAGAAGGAACCAGCTTAGTTTAACTTCTTACCACCCTCTCCCTTCCAAACTCCTCACCCAAATACTAGACACCATCCCCAACTTGTCCTGTATTTAATATTGTGGAAAGTAACCCTCACTATTATTTTTCCAATGTCCACCTTTACATTAAAAGGTGGTTTATTTTTTTATTTTTAAATTTTATTTATTTCTTCATGAGAGACACAGAGAGAGGCAGAGGGAGAAGCAGGCTCCATGCAGGGAGCCCGATGTGGGACTCAATCCCAGGTCTCCAGGATCACACCCTGGGCCGAAGTCAGCAGCCCAACTGCTAAGCCATCCAGGCATCCCTAAAAGGTGGTTTAAATGTCTGAATGGTCCCCTTGATTCTGAGCACTAAATGCACAGAAGTGGGCTCAGTTTTCTCATCTATAAGTTGGGACAACATAATTCTTTACTATAAGTGTGAAGCTCCTAAATTCAATTTTAACAATCTTGGTCTTTATAAAACTTCCCGTCACGACAAGATACAAGGCAAACCTGCCTTAGTTAAAAATTCTGCAGAATTAACAGAAAAATATTTACAACCGGAGAATTTCATGTGGTGTAGCAACATTGGAAATATTAATCTAAGATTGTTCCCCAACACATTTTCTTGCTGAGCCCAGGATACAGCTTTGTTCCAGGAAAGGGAGGACTCAAAAAGATCCTAACAGGATTAAGAGATAATTTGTTACAGTGGTAAAATACACATAAAATTCACCACTTAACTCTTTTAAAGTACACAACTTTGGGGCACTACTACATTTGCAATGTTGTGCAACCATTTCCCACTGTCCAGCTCCAGAACTTACTCATCCCATCCCAAAGGAAACCTTGTCCCCATGAGCAGGCACTGCCCCTTCCCCGCCCACCCCACCCCACCCTCAGCCCCTGGTAATCCATTAATCTTGTCTCAGTCTCTAGGGGTTACATACTTAATCTCATCCCAGAAAACGGATTTAAAATCCAATGCTTTTCAAAATTTTCAAAGAAGCAAGATTTTAAGAGCTTTTAGGAGGTTTTCAACCTACCGTCCAAAGGTAAGAACCACCCTGATACTCTAGATACCCATTTTATCCCAAGAACAGTTACAGAAAGAATGCATTTTCCTTCTAGTGAGAGGTCAGGGGTCAACCTGAGGAAGGGACGGAAGACTGGGGTGCCTCAGCACACCAGTGAGAGCCCCTAGAGAAAGGGGCTCTCGTTCTGGCTGGGCTAGTCGGTTGAGGTCTTTAATTCAAGGTTTGATTATACCCACGGATAGCAAAAAACCAGCTATGTGCTTTTAAGCAACAGTACAGCAAGTTTAGAAATCAAGAGAACCACATGCCAGAAAAAAATGTAAAGCTAATACATTTGCCTAAAATCCCTAAGAGTCGACTTTTGTACTATTTCAGATGATTGAGGAAGCCTCCTTCAGCAGTGTTTTAATCCCATGGTTTAGGTTTAATCAGCTGTTAGGCAAGTCAATCAACTCTTGGGAGACCATAATCCTTCTTTATGGAGGACCATAAAACCTACCTCTTACATTGAGGATAAAATAAGAGGGTGCCAAGGACATGCACATCTTTACCAGATGGAGGAACTAACATTCAGAGCTATGGTTTTCAACCAAGGGTGACTTTTGTCCCTACTCTTCTCAAACTTCAGGATATTAGGCAATGTCTGGAGACACTTTTGGTTGTCATAACCCAGGAGGATGCCGCTAAATATCCTACAATGCACAGGACAGTTTTCCAAGCCCCCTCCCCTACACAAAACAAAACACACACAAAAAAAACCCCTATCTGGCCAAAGATATCATCTGCGGTTGAAAAATCCTGGTTTATTTTATTTTATTTTATTTTATTTTATTTTATTTTTTATGATAGTCACACACACAGAGAGAGAGGCAGAGACACAGGCAGAGGGAGAAGCAGGCTCCATGCACCGGTCCCGGGTCTCCAGGATTGCGCCCTGGGCCAAAGGCAGGCGCCAAACTGCTGCGCCACCCAGGGATCCCAAAAATCCTGGTTTAATACTAGTTCAAAGTACAAACCACACATACCACGAATGAAATCACACCACAATGGATCAAAGTTAATAATGGGGTATAAGAAGATCCCTTGCTTTCACAAGGCCTCAGAGCTAATGTCTAGGGAATATAGACCCAAATCTTCCTGGTAGTAACCTCCATCTATCCCAGGTTTCAAGCACCCTTAGATGTTCCCACCTGTAACCAACCTCCCCACCTGTAACCAACCTCATTCATGTCTTCCTGCCTCCAGCCTCTTCCAACTGCCTTGAGCTGTAACGTCTCTGTTTATATAAAGCTAGAGAAAGTCCATACTTCCTGTTGTTACCTCATCAGCCCAAGATTGGTTTAAGGCAATGGAATAAACCATTTTAGAGGGTCACGCGGCTTACATTTCCCATTGAAATTCCATTAAGAGAAAGAGTCATTTATTAAATAAGTCTACTTGGAAACAATATTGGTTTTCCTGGTCTGGTGAATTATTTATCATATACCTAAAGTGTTCAGAGGAGTTGGGGAATGTAGAGTGGCAAGTTTTAAGCACTTTGGGTTAAGATTTTATTTAAAATGAGCTGACGGGCAAAGTATGAGAAATAGGCATTTAGAAAACCAAGGGTTGCATGCAAGTAGAGAAAAATACATCTTACCAATTTCGCAGGGCATGCTTTTCCTAAATGCCGAAGGCAGAAATATCAAGTCAAGAAGTTGTGGAGAGGGATGTCTGGGCGTCTGTCTTTGGCTCAGGGCCTGATCCTGGAGTCCCGTGATTGAGTCCCTCATCCGGCTCCCTGCATGGAACCTGCTTCTCTCTCTGCTTATGTCTCTGCCTCTCTCTTGTGTATCTCTCATGAATAAATAAATAAAATCTTTAAAAAAAAATTGTGGAGAGATGGTAGGCTGGTATCAAACCAGTGATTTAATCTAGCTCAGGGACTCCTGGCTGGCTCAGTTGGTGGAGCTTGAGATTCCTGATCTCCGGTTGGTGAGTTCAAGCCCCATACCAGGTATAGAAATTACTTAAAAATAAAAACAAAATCTTTGAAAAGAATAATCTGGCTCAAGCAAAACTCTAACATATTAATTCCAAGGTATTGAAAAATGAAAAGCAATTATGGATACATGAGGAATATTTTTTTTAATTTATTTATGACAGTCACACAGATAGAGAGAGAGAGGCAGAGACACAGGCAGAGGGAGAAGCAGGCTCCATGCACCGGGAGCCCGACGTGGGATTCGATCCCGGGTCTCCAGGATCGCGCCCTGGGCCAAAGGCAGGCGCTAAACCACTGCGCCACCCAGGGATCCCTACATGAGGAATATTCACAATTTTTTAGAACTTATTTTTACTATCTTCAACATCTTGGGATTAAAGCTTTGCTCAAACTAGATTAAATCACTGACTTGATTATTTGTCAACTTACCCTTTTATAGAAACAATGGAAAGTAGACAAAAGCACATAGACACTGCTCTGCATTCCTTTCCTCCCCAGGTGAGAAAGGTGGTTTTGAGATACTTGGGGCTTCTTCATGGACCTTTCTGTGCTCCTGAATTAGATCTCATAAATTCTAAAAAGCTATTATAATGGTGTGTCTGCATGTTACGGGTGAATTTTATTTTACTTCATCTTCTTGTATTTTATTTTTTGTAAAGATTTTATTTATTTATGAGAGAGACATAGAGAGGCAGAGACATAGGCAGAGGGAGAGGCAGGCTTCCTGCAGGGACCCTGATTCGGGACTTGATCCCAAGACCCCGGGATCACAACCTGAGCCGAAGGCAGATGCACAACCACTGAGCCACCCAAGTCCCCCATCTACTGAATTTTAGTCAAGGGTTGGGCATGACTGGGTTACAATTTTGGAAGCTCTTGGTGTCCTCAAATCACAACAAATCCATTCAGATAGTGAGCTCCTTTGTGTAACATTTGAGATGAATTGGAAGGCTTTGGATGATTCTGGTTTAAATCCTTGGGGGCCTATGGGAGTCTCTACACCCTGCAAACCTCAGATTCCTTGTGAGTAGGATGGTGGCTTTCTGCTGCCCCTTCTAATCTCGCTGGAGCTGTTGCAGCCACTTTCTGGAGTGGTCCCGTCTGCCCTCCTGCCCTCGAGGGCTGTGTGCTACATGGGCCCAGACTGTGCGACAAGACCCCAGGCACACATTTCACTTCCCCCTTCAGAACTGTCCCACAGTTTGCAGAGCACCTGGAGGAGAAGCTTTGTCCTTTCCCAGGGCCCAGGGGCTTTCAGCACCTTACCTGCAGATGCTCTCTCTTTCTAAGCCCCCTCCCAGCTGCCCTGCGGCTGCCCTAGTATGCCAGGTATACTTCTGTTCTAGGACTCCGTTCACACAGTTTCGCTCCCCGCTCCCGTTGTCTGGAATGCTTTGCCTGGGGCAGGCATGGCTGACCCCCACACTCGGTTCTCATCTCAACACAATCCTCTGTTCTCCATTCTTCAGAGAAGCCTGCCCTGCCTGTGCTGAATCAACCACCCACAGGGCTCTGATGTGACAGTAGCGCTTCTTAACCTCTCTTTGGGCCAGATGATCCTCTGTTGTGGGGTTTGAACTGTGCCTTGCAGGATGCTGAACTGCAGTAGCCCTGTGCTCTGTCCATCAGATGCCAGCAGCAACCCCTGGTTCTGACAACCAGAAATGTCTTCACACAGTGCCCAATTGTCCCCTGGGGGGCACATTGCCCTAGTTGATAAACTTCATAAGCCGGGCTTATTTTATTTTTATTTTTTTCAAGTAGGCATGCCCAGCAGGGAGCCAATGTGCGGCCTGAATTCATGACCCTGAGATCAAGACCTGAGCTGAGATGAAGGG